TTAAGAAGTGTGTTACAAGATATGATTTAATTAGAGCTACCTAACAATTGAAAGTTAATGTGGAATAATAAAGAATCATGTTGACTTCTTGAATTTGGAAAGATGGTAAAAAGTAATTTTTTTGCTTTTAACCAAACTTTTTACTTTTTTAGACAAATGATTTGGAAAGTTGGTAAAAAATTATTTTTAGCTTTTTTAAGGGTGGTTTGGCATAACCTATTTTAGTCCATCTTTTTATCTTTTTTGAGTCACATCAATCAACATCTCCTCTCTACTTTTCTACACATTCTTTTATAAAAAGTTAAAAAGTGCACTTATTTAGGACATCCCAAACCATCCCTTAATTAATATTTGTTTATGATGTCAAATCACAATAAAATGACCAAACTACTCCCATTAATTTAAAATATTTACAACTTCACTCATGTAGCACATTTTGACTCATGAGAGGTAGAATTGTAATTTTACCATTTGCTAAAAATTAACTTCCCAAATGAAAAAAAATGTAAAAAAGTCAACTTTTGACTTTTACTGCAGACCAAAAAAAGGTTGCCAAAAGCCAACTTCCCAAAATAGCACATAGAATTGAAATACAAAAATAATTATAAATGTGAGGTAAAATATGAGACTTGCCTATGTCTCATATCTATGATTATTTATATGTTCTAAATTGTGAATTTTTATCAAAACTCGGGTCTGTTTAGTAATGTTTATGTTTTCAGTTTATATTTATAAAATTTTTATAAACTAGTTTTTGTTTATTTTTTGAAAAACATAAACTAAAAACGCATTTGGTACTTGACAAAATGTTTTAAAAAATTTAAAAATATAAAAAATAGTGAGAAATGACAAGTGGCGGTGGAAGACGGTGGTAGAAAGTGGTGACGGTGGATGGTGAGTAGCGGGTGGTGGTGGGTGGTGGCGGGTGCTAGATAGTAGTGGCAGGTGGGTGGCAGATGGCGGGTGGGTGGTGGTGGCAGGTAGGTGGCGGGTGGTAGTGGTGGGTGGGTGGATGATGGTGGCGGGTGGTGGGTGGTAGCAAGTGGGTGGTGGTGGTGGTGGAGTGTGGCAGTTGTGAAGTGGTCAGGTGGGAGTGGGTGGCGGATAGGCGGTGTGGTGGTGGGTGGGTAGTAAGAGTGACGTGTAGGTGGCGGTGGGTGGGTAATTGGTGCAGGTGGGTGCGGATACGGTGGTGGTGGGTGTGGCAGTGGTGGTGGGTGGGTAAGTGGTGCGAGTGGTAGGTGGTAGTGATAGGTGGTGGTGTGAGCTAGGTGTTGGTGGTCGCTGTGGGTGGTGTGGTTGTGGGTGGTGGCGCGTGGGTGGCTGTGTGTAATGGGTGGTGTGGTGGCGGGTGGTGGCTAGTGTTGGGTGCTTAAAAAAAAAAAAACTCAAAAATCAAACGGGAAACACTTTTTTGGTCAAATTTATAAACTGAGACCACTGATTTATAAATCAAAGTTAACCAAACAAGTTTTTATTTGAAATTTTTAAAATTTTTTATAAATATAAACAAAAAATTAAAAAACGTAGTACTATCAAACGACACCTTCACCCTTGTGATGATGCTTGGTTTGGTTGGGTAAGAGACGGTGAGAGACGGCAGGCCCATTTAAAATACTTGAAGATGTATGAAACATGTATCGGTTTTCTAATAATTTGAATATTTTTAACTTTGAGATTATTTTGATTTTGCTTGTGTCAAATATAATACAAGGTTAGGTAAAGATAATTTCTCGCTAATATTTATTTTATATGTTTTTATATATTTTTTAGTTTACTTATTTTTTCATATTGTTCTATATTTTGGCGTGCCATTTTTAAAATTGTGATATACAATATTTTATTTTTATTTTTAAATATGTTCTATATTAGTTATTTTTTATTTTTTGTGCCAATTTTTTAAAGGATATTTATTTTAAGGTGCCTCATTATTGAGATTTTATAAGATAAAATAAACAAATATT